CTTAAGTCTTTGTAACTCGATGAATTAACTGTTTTGGACTCGGATGCATATTTTCTCCATCCGAACAACTCAGATGGAGCTCAAAACAGATTCTTAACTTAAAGTAACTTTCTCTCTTGTAAATGAGCCCAAACCACCTGGAGGAAGGGGTCAAAATTGCCTCACAACAAATTCCACTGCTTTCCGGCAAAATTCCTAAAATGTTACTCGATTAGGGTAACACTTAAAGTCAGCTGCCTCCAATGTGGCTTTGACATAGCAAAATAAGCATCAAAAATCTTTCTTTGGATAAAAGCAATGAAATGAACACCAGAAAAAATAATGTTTATCTGATGAGACAGACCCTTTACCTTATGCTGGAAATGATGTTTTCAGAGGGGAACCACTTACTATGAATTACCTTGTTTTCTTCTGGTGGTCATGTAATTGCTTTTATCTAAAGACAGATTTTTGATGCTTATTTTGCTATGTCAAAGCCACATTGGAGGCAGCTGACTTTAAGTGTTACCCTAATCGAGTAACATTTTAGGAATTTTGCCGGAAAGCAGTGGAATTTGTTGTGAGGCAATTTTGACCCCTTCCTCCAGGGGTTTGGGCTCATTTACAAGAGAGAAAGTTACTATAAGTTAAGAATCTGTTTTGAGCTCCATCTGAGTTGTTCGGATGGAGAAAATATGCATCCGAGTCCAAAACAGTTAATTCATCGAGTTACAAAGACTTAAGATTATAAAGTCAGCTCCAGAATCCACAAATGAAATATATTTTTGACGACTACTTGGGATATTACTTAGGGCTATATAAGGATGCTTTGGGCCTGATTCGGTCCAGTTCTGAGTCGGAGTATTTGAGAAATGAAAATTGCGTAAAATTCCTATAATGTTACACGATTGGGGTAACGCGTAAAGTCAGCTGACTCCAAAGTGGCTCAAAATTACTTTTTAATATGCTCTTTCATATAAGAAAAGCATTGGGGAAGTGGGACCTTAATTTAGCAGCATTTTGGCATTTTGAAATTTTTCAACCTTAAATTGCGCTAAAATGGGTGAAAATGGTTTTTTGTTATTTTCTCCCAAACTATTGGTCCGATTGCAAAAATATTTTACAGGGAGTCTCTCCTAGTGAGGGCCTCTTGATGAAAAAATTGGGAGGCCAAAACTCCACATTGACCCGGAAAGTTGATTTGGTTTGAGAAAGAATGCATCAAAGTTCATCTGCCGTCCGGTCAGGCTTGCGAACTTAATGCGGAATATTGTTCTGACTTGACGTTTGGGGATGCTTACTGGGATACTGTAACTGAGACAGCTTGTCGGGAACACGAGTTTGATGTGTTGTACGACTTCATGGTGGTGCCGAAGGTGGGCACTTATGTGACAGTCGCGGAGGAAAAACATCTTTTTGCTTTGAAGCTCGATGCCCCGACAGAGCTGAGGAATCAAAACGCTTACCTTACAGAACATCCGAGGCTTATTGTCGTGATGGGAGGCGCAGCGAGATATGCGTTCGGGAAGGGGGACGTCCGTAAGATGTTGAGCGCGAACGCGGACCTACGAAGGCAATGTTTCAAGAAGTTACGTCGAAGCAGCGATTGGAACGGCTGCAACGCCAGGAGATCAATGCTCGGTGTCAACTTGAGCGGGAGAATTTAAAAAGTCGCCTGGCCCTCGCGCGCTCTAGTTCGGACCCGGTGGCGCGCCTGTTGCAGGACAAGCCCGGCTACAATGGGGTGGTTGTTGGGAGTGTCATGTACTTGGTGCAGTGCGTGCCAAGGCCTGTGCTTGTGCGTAATGTTTCTCGTTGTTATCAGGAAATTCCGGTGTCAGTTGACGGACAGCCAGCTTTTGTAACACCACACAGCAGGACGATTGTTAGCCGAGGGCAGGAAGTGACGTGCCACGACGTAACCGCACCTGTCCACCACATTGACGGCCGCTGGGTGCGGTTCGTGCCCAACATGGTGGAGGCCGAGCAGCCACAAAGTTTGAAAATTACGCCTAACAAAGGTTTGGAGTTTCCGTTATTCAGTTCAGTTTCTACCGGAGGCATTTACGCCACGGAGACGCTCCAGGGATTACAGGAGAGCCTGGAGTTCGCTGCGGAGCGAAATGCTTTAATAAATTCAATTTCACGGAAGGCTCTGGGGAAGGATGCCGACCCCACGGCTTTCAGTCATTCTCGTATGTTTTCCAGTTCAGATCTAGATGATCTGGCAACTTCTTATTATCAGCGGTTCATGTCTTCACTCCAAACCTTTGGGTCGGTGTCTTCAATCTTTGTCGCGGTGGTCATTATCCTCGCGGCGATCAAAATGGTCGCCGAGGGGATAATGTATGGGCACCTACTGAAAGGAGTGTTTTCATGCTGGGTGGTGGCGCTGGCCAGCCTGTGGACGGGGCTGGCCAACGTGCTGCTGGCACGGCACGAGAGATTTGTCCAAGAGAGAGGATTGGGGGATGCCGAGGTAGCCAGCCCGGAACCACCTCGACCGAGGGCGGCTACGCAGAAGCCGAGAACATGGACGGAGGAGGAAAGGGGGAGCATACCGCTGCCCCAAGTGGTTCCATGCCACAGCCGCTATGAGGCACAGGGGTTAAGTTAAGTTAATTTTTAGTAAAACATTCTCTAGGTTAAGTTGAAGTTTTTTAGGCTAAGTTGAAGTTTTCTCTAGGCTAAGTTGAAGTTTTCTTAGGTTAAGTTGAAGTACATTCCGAGTTTAAGTAAAATCTTTTAGAATTTTTTTTTAAGTTAGGTTAAGATTCAAGAACAGCTTCCGGGGCTGAATAGGAAATCTGAATTTTTGAATGAAACTGATAATTTGTATTTTTGTTTCAATTGTTTAAAGGAAAGCTCTCGAGGACAGAGCGATGCAGTCCACTCGCCCGTAACCGCACTGGACGCACTCGTGTACGGCGCCCCCTTGGAACAACGACTCCAGGCAACAGAGGCGACCCCAAAACCCAAGGATGCCAACCTCGGAGTGAACCGAGAGCCGTGCCCAGCCTGGAGTACACAACGGCGGGCAGGCTGCGCCGCAACCAAAGATGATACCGTGCCCGGTGGAGCAACGTGTGGCCGGAGTGACGGGCCATTCACCGAGTCATTCAACGGGTCATTCATTGGCCTTCGGACATTCATCGGAGAGATTACATCGGGAGGCGCAAGTCTTGCTTGCCTTGGCGCGGCGGAGTGTCTGAGTCGGGTGGGTCCACTGTGAGCCGAGTCCAGCCTGCAGCCCAGAGACAATTCAACAGAGCGCGGGCTGGGCGTCAAGAGAGTACATCAAGAGAAGGGGGTGCTTTCAAGAGGCACAGAAGAGGGGTGTGGAAGGTGCGGGCCTGTAAAGGGGTGGCTGCGTTGTGATGAACTTGAGGGTTACCTTGCTTGTATTGTAATTTTGCTATTATTTTGTAAATTCTGTATGTAAAGCAAATTCTCCTAAAGTTTGTTGTATTTGTATAAAATTAGATTCTTTTTAGATTCTTTAGAATTAGATTCTTTTTCATATGTTGTAATATTTAATTTCTGTGGATTCATGGTTTTTTTTTTCATTTCATTGTTATTCGATTGTTTAGCTTTCATTCATTCACTCATTCATTCATTCAATCCTTTTAAATTCATGTAATAGTTATTGGTTTTTCATTCATTCAATTTCAACCCCGGAGGGCGGGAGAATGTTGGCGGCATGAACGCCGCCAACGCTGATTTCGAGAATTTAGGCTAAGTTAGATAAGGCATCGGTTGGTCAGGACGGCGCCATAACTTGTTTGTCGTTTTGCAATATTTTCGGCTGCCGTCCGGGCCGTGTTGGCTTGAGTGAAGGGATCCCAGAGTGACCTATACTCGGTCACGCGGACGGCTCTCCGCGCGGCAGGGTGTGCGTCACGCGCAGACTTTGAACGAAGGGCCGCCTCGCGCTGGAGGCAGTGAGCAGCGAAAATCCCGTCACTGAGGCCGGCACCGATGGTTAGCGTAAGGGAGTTTGTGCGCGGTGTCGTGGTAGCACTGCGTTATCAGCCAGAGTCGAAGGGCTGGAGCGCGGTGCTCCGGGGCACTGCGAAGAGAGTCGAAGACAGAGCGTCAAAGTGGGTGGATGTGATTTGCCAGCATAGTCTTGTGGAAATATACATAAGTCTTATCAACCTCGTCTCATTCTTCATTCTAAACACCAATCACTGCGGGCTCCCCAACAGCATTCAGTGATCTGTCCTAACCAGTTTTGCTCCTGCTGTACCCCGGAGATGGGGCTCCGTGTCGTCCATCGTCCTGACCGACTTGTACAAACATCTAGGGAATGAATAGTTACCGAACTAGTTAAAATGTATGCAGGCAAGTGAATTACCTTGCAACACTAGACACGAGAGCAACAAAGTGGACCTCGGCATTTTATTTATCTCTTTACGCGTGAGTAAGAGATGGAGTCCTTTCTCCCAAGGATTCGGGCTAAGCGTGCTATGAGTGCCACTGAAGGTCGACTAGCGCTTCAGTGTTCGAGAGACACCCTGGGGCGTTTAGAAGTCAATGGGGTTACCCAAAATGCCTGAGACATTGGCAGTTTACGTCAAAAGAAGCTGCACGATGTCTCCAGCCAGGAAATGTATTGCGGGTTGCCTACCTCGCTATAAACGCGGACCTAACGCATTCCTTATATGACGTAAGTTATTTTTAGTGGTGAAGAGTCAGTTCATAGCTCGTTACGCTGTGTAGAAACGCGAAAATGTGGTCTAAATGACATGTGGGTCAATTTGGCCCGCTTGGCGCTTTGTGGTAAAAGTCAATTTATCTCGGTCAAATATGGCCCGAGAACGTCCAGATTTCGAATTTAGACGCATTTCATCATTCTAGGAAAAGTCAGAAATTAGGGGGCTGCCACTTTTTGAAAAGTCGAAATTACAGTTCAAAACTCAAAATGGGTCAAATTGGCCCGTTCGGCGCTGCTAGTGTTAAGGAAGTGGAAAAAAACGTGTGGACATTACTGCCTCGGGTGAAAGGAATTGCGTGAAACGTCCTGATACCACCATAGGCCTTGGGCTTTAGCCGCATTTTTAATTGAAAATGGACATAACGTCCGAATTCCGTCGCTGACTGTACCCTCTGCTGCACTTCTCCAACAAAATAAACGCAGCGGCATCCTCACTTCAACTTCATGCACGGGACGATGAGGCGTGCCAATTGTTTCAGAGCCGGCTCTTTGGTCGTCGGGTCATAGCAGGCCAGCGCGTCCCTCGCCGTCTTGTTTACGTCGACGCACGTCCGCAGGTTGTGGAACATGTACCTCTGCGCTAGCTCCTTTCCATTGGGGATCTTGTTCGCAGCCGACGACAAACAGCTCCTGAACTGCTTCAGCCTCGCTTGTTTGGCAGCAGCAGTCTGAAAAGGGAAGCGCAATCAACGGGGTATTTTAACGAATCCCTGGGCCGGAAGTCAAAGAAGAAAAACGTCCCCCCTCCACTCAGAATTAGCGTCCGCTCATGCGCAGGAAGCGATTTCAGTTCCTTCTTGTATTCTTTGACTTGAATTGGATTGGATGAAATGCCGTAAAAGAAAACCACCATGGTCATGGCCACGGCAAGCAGTCACCAACAAATGAAATTTCAAAGGGGTAAAGGTGAAGGGGCACTGCAAGAAAAAGCGTGAATAGTGCAACAAATGTACAACAAATGAACATCGGCAACTTTGGCCCGTTCCGTACATTTAGAAGTGTGCGAATTTCGCTTATGTTTAACCCTAACGGGATTTGAACCTAAGTCCGGGTTCAAAATAGATATTATTTTCGTCATCAGCACCCTCAAAAACATCAGAGACAATGCAAAAACTTGAATTTAAAAAATGTTAAAAATATACCCCACTGGGATTTGAACCCGAGTCCAAACTTTACTGATTGTAGGGGATTGTAGAAAGTACAACGAGAATTGCACAAAGCACAACGAGGCCTGGACTGCACAGCACTCTTTACGCCGGTTCCATTGTACTTTGTACAACAGTTGTACTTTGAAAGTACTCAAAATTCCTGATAACAAATTTGCCAGAAATTTGTGTACTTTTGTTGTGGTTTTTGGCCCGTCCCGTTTATTTTTTGGCCCGTCCCGTTTATTTTTTGGTAAAAAAAATGACGGAGGGACGGGCATATAGTATGATGCATGCTGTGCGTCCGTTCGTTCGTTCGTCCGTTCGTTCGTTCGTTCGTCCGAGGACTTCCCGTGGTCCGATCTTGACCAAATTTGGTATGCAGCCTCCTTGGGTGACCCTAAGAACCGCCCGGTGGCAGCAAATCCGATCCGAGCCCCGGGGGCGCTGCTGCAGGTGCATCATGGTCTACATGGGGTCGAGGAGGATTTCGGCAACGGATACAGCTAGCAGGGCATGTAGGGGTATTTTTGGAATCGGGGCGACGAGACAAAACCAACGGTGCCAGTTTCAAGTGAATCGGAGAAGTTTGGACCCGGGTTCAAATCCCAGTGGGGTATATTTTGAACATTCTTTTTATTCGAGTTTTTGCATTATTTCTTATGTTTTTGAGGGCGCTGATGACGAAAATAACATCTATTTTGACCCCAGACTCAGGTTCAAACCCGTCAGGGTTAAACAAAGGCGAAATTCACACATTTGTTAATGTACGGGACGGGCCAAAGTTGCCGATGTATATCGCTACTTTTCCTGTTATTTTCTTGCAGTGGGGTCTCAGGCATGTGACGTCTGATTTCGTGTGTATGAACGACCCTCACCCGTATACTTGAATGCACTGCTGCCGCCGCACCGAATGCGTTGCTGATGGCATTCCTCGCTCCAGAGAAAAGGGGCGTTGGCTCTGGCGCCACCGGCACGGTCAGGTGGCACACCAGCACCGCCACCAACACCTGGAACCAACACACACACATCTGGTGGTGATATGATTCACGATCAAATGAATGTCGACGTCCCTTACTAGAATAATCCGAACTGCCTGAGTAGAGAGCTAGAGCATTCTAGTGGTGCGGTCTGTCGCATTCGTTTGACTGTGAATTTTCACCGTTTGTCTCGCTTAAACTAACATCGCCGTTTTCACGTGAAAACGAACGTGACGTCACATTCGTCGGCTACCAGTGTTTGTGATGAGATTGTCATCATTTCAAAGTGATGAAAATATCATCCAAGTTTTTGACATTAACTGGCGACAAATTTTCACAGTGTACGTGCTTCTATTCTCTACCTGCGCAAAACAGTACTCTGACTGTATTGGGATCGGGACTTACGGTCACAGCAAAACACGCTCGGCCAAACATGGTCGACAACTGTTGCCCACGACGGGTCCTGGTCGCCTTTATGTCACGGGGGCCAGGCACCAAATGCCATTCGTGGCCATAAACTTGTCTTTTCTCATTAGTGTTTGTTACGTCAGTCATGCTTGCCTGTTCTTCCTAGAATGACGCCTCAGTTCAAGGATACAAACACTCATTACAGGAACGTGACGTGACGTCGAAACGAACGTGACAAATGCGAGACAAAATGTCACGTTCGTTAGAGCATTGTGTCAGGTTCGTTTGAATGTGAACAAGCTGAATTTTGGCCGATTCACACCCAAACGAATGTGACACAATGCTCAAACGAGCTTAAAATTTTGTCACGTTCGTTTCTACGTGATGTCACGTTCCTGGAATGAGAGTGCAGTACACGAAATTTCATGCACTTGACTAGTCAGGGCTCCACCTCACAGGGCATAGAAATTTGACGATTTTCACCGTTGTGGGCCCTTAAATCGGCCTTTACCTGGGCGCTTAGCTAGTTGTGCGTCCGTAATTGTGAAAAATGCATTCAATCTGTAGGTTCGCTTAACATGTCTCGAAACACCAGTTTCGGACCTCGTGCCCGCCCACGCTCACGGTCTCAAAAATTGAGAAAATTATACATGGTTCAGGGAAAAATGTTTTTGAACCGTTCCCCATCGTGAGAACCTCCGATATTATCATCGCATTAACAGGGCGTGAGCAGCAGTCATTAAAAGATAAAAAGAAAGGTTTATTTTTAATTCAATCATTTTTTCTTGTCCAAATTGATACTTGAGTGGAGCACTCTCGCAAGACACCTGACACTATTTCGAGAGCCATCTCCGGGTTCATAAACGACTTTTTCGCACCAAAAAGAATGCATCAAAGACCATCGGGCACAGGGTATTTGATTCTTAGACCTATAGCAACGTTCCATATGAATTTGAGGCAAATCGGAGGTAGTCGACCGTTTTCGTCAAAAAAAGCTAAGATCTTGTTTTTGTTTTTCACGTTTTTTTGGCAAAAATTTTAAACTGGCCCAAATTTGGGTATGTTGTGCTGGAGCACTCCCTCACGGCTCGTGACACTTTCGAGAGTCATTATTTTCGTCTTTCCAGGGTTTTGTTTTGGCGAGAAACCGCGAGGAACTGAAATGCTTTGAGCTTGCGCCGCGAAAGAGGGCGACGCATCGTCTACAGCTCCGTCAATTTTACTTGCGTTACAGGACCTTTAGGACATGCAGCAACGTTCGTTCCATTTGAATTTGAGACGAATCGGGGGTGGTCGACCGTTTTCGCGAGAATAAGGCTACGGCTTTTGTCACGGTTTTTCACGGTTGTTTCACGTAAAATTTGAACTGGCGTTAAGGGGGCACACCAGTGAAAATCGTCGTATTTTGGTCTTATTTTTTATTTTATCTTATTTTTCTTATATTTAACCCGAGTCGAACGCCGCAAACCCCACCCCTAAATTCCAATAACTTTGGGTCGTGCATTTTTTAAGTTGCTGAAAAGGTTATTATTTTTGCATATTTTAGACCAATTGTTAACATTTAGGTTTTCCACTTTAAGTTCAATTACAAAACCCTTGAACCACCCAAACGCAGTTGTAACAAGCTAGGGCCCGCCCTTCCGTCGAGCCGAGTTGCAGCTCCGCTTCGCTGCGCGGCAACTCGGTTCGACAGGGGGCCGGCCCAGCTTGGCCTGCCGGCGGCCTTTCCTCGGGCCTTCGGCCCTCGCATCAGACCCAACGTGGCCAGTCGAAGGCCCGGGCTTCGGCCCGCTCGCATCACACACCCCGTGAGCGGGTTAAAGCAAGTTATCGATGTACCATCGTGACTTAGGCCCGCTCTATTCACAATATGCAAAAATCCTTACACTTTTTATTCCAAATGGCCTTAAATATGCCCATTTCTTTGTCTCTTCGCCTCATTCCGAAAATACCCATATTTGCCATGCTACTGCAACTCCTTGCATAGAGGCACAGCAGGAGCGCAAAACGAGTCCGTCGCACTTTTTCCCATAACTCATGAAGGCGGGCTCCTGGACCCCCTTCCGACCCCTCGTTAAGAGGTCTTGCCAAGACCTATCCAAAACTTAAGTAAAAATTTTTAGTCGGTCGACCCCCTTTTTTCAAGATCCTGATGTGACTATAGACGAAGTCGGGTCCTGGACCCCTTTCCGACCCCTCGTTGAAAAGGTCTTGCTGAGACCAATCGAAATCTGCAATAAATTTTTTTTGTCGGTCGACCCCCTTTTTTGAAGATCCTGATCTGGCCAACTTGTAAAAGCGGCCGATGGGGTCGGGACCAGGTCCATTCATCTTGTTTTGTCGCCCCGCTTCCAAAAATACCCCTATGTGCCCCGCTAGCACCAATAATGGCGGAAATCCCCCTCCCGCTCATGTAAACCATGATGCACCTGCAGCAGCCCTTGTGCGACCCGGACGGGATTTGCACCACCGGATTATTTGTTTGGACGGTACTCCTGAAGTACCCTCCAAATCTGGTTACTCTAGCTCAACTCTTCCTTGTACACAGACACCCCCTATTTTTTGAATAGAAGGGCGGGCCAAAAAGGAACATTTTGGCGCAAACCGAACTTAAATACGTCAAAAGGCACATTTATAATCGGCAAAAAACACGTCAAACTATGTTTCTACTAAAGGGCTTTTACTCAAAACACCTTTTTTGTACCTTTGTGCCACTCTCACGGGCGCGAAAATTGAGATATTTTTATGCGGTTTGCGGCAAAATGTTCGTTTAACTTGCGTCTATGGCTTGATCCTCGGAAATGGCCCTCTCATAAATAGGACGTGAGCTGCAGCCATGAAAGCGCGAAAAAGGGGGTTTTTTTTTCCAAAAAAAATTTTTTGGGGGGGAAAAAAAAAAAGGTTTTTTTTTTTTTTTTTTTTTAAAAATTTTTTTTTCCCCCCCCCCCCGGGGGGGTTTTTTTTTTTGGGGGGGGAAAAAAAATTTTTTTTGAAAATTTTCCTTTTGGTTTTTGGTTTCCCTTTTAAAAAAAAACCCCCCCAAAAGGGAAAAAAAAAAAAAAACCCCTTTTTTCCAAAAAAAATTTAAAAAGGCAAAACACCCCCTTTTTCCCAAAAAATTTTTTTTAAAAAATTTTTTTTTTTTGGGGCCCTCCCGGGGGAAAGGGGAATTTTTGGGTTTGGGGGAAATTTTTTTAAAAACCCCTTTTTCCTTAAAGGGAAAAAAGGGGTTTTTTTTTTTTTAAAAAATTTTTTTAAAAAATTTTTTTTTGGGTTAAAACCAAAGGGCCCCGGGGGGGCCAAAACCCCGGGGGGGGGGAACCCCGGGGGGAAAAAAAAAGGGGTTTTTTAAAAAACCCCTTTTTTTTAAAAAACCCCCCCCTTCTGATTTTTTTTTTTTTTTAAAAAAAAATTTAAAATACCAAAAAAAAAGGGGGGGTTTTTTTAAAATTTCCTTTAAAACCCCCCCTTTTTTTTTGGGGGGGGCCCCCCAAATTTGTTTTTTTAAAAAATTTTTGGTTCACTTTTTTCCCCCCCTTTTTTGGGTTTTTTAAAAAAGGAAAAATTAAAAGGGCCCCCCAAAAAAAAAACCCCCACTAAAAAAATTTTTTTTTTTCCCCCCCCTTTTTTTTTTTAAAAAAAAAAGGGGAGGGGGGGGAAAAAAAGGGGGTTTGGGGGGTTTTTTCCCCTTTTTTTTTTTCCCCCCCCCCCGGGCCTTTTTTTTTGGGGGGGAAAAAACCCCTTGGCCCCCCCCCGGGGGGGGGTTTTAAACCATTTTTTTGGGGGGGGGAAAAAACCCCCCCCCCGGGGGGGGGGAAAATTTTTTGGGGAAGCCAAAAAAAGGGTGCCATTTTCCGGGGGGGAAATTTTGGCCCCCCCTTTTTAAAAAAAATTTTTTTTTTTCCCTTTTTTTTTTTTTTTTTTCCTGAGGGAAAAAAATTTTTTTTTTTCCCCGCCTTTTTTTTAAACCCTGGGCCCCCCCTTTTTTTTTTTTGGGGGCCCCAAAAAAATTTTTAAGGAAAATTTTTTTTTTTTGGGTTTTACAAAAAAAATTTTTTTTTTTTGGGGGGAAGAAAGGCGATTTCCAGGGAGTTCCTGGGAAAACCAGGAACCGTTTTTACCGTGTAGCGCCCGGAAGGGGACCGCTCTCCAACTGCAGGCTAGGCACCCGAGGCCAGTCCGACCCTGTTATAACGAGTCAAATAAATCCCTGCAGACTAAATATTTTGACTGAAATAGATAACATAACTGTAGCAATACCTCACGATGATAGGGTGTGGTGTGGGATTGTTTACCACACCGGTGGCCCTAGAATATGCACCCTAAAATATGCACTATAAAAGTTTCGTCTCTAATCCAGGTCGTTGAACTCACATCTGTCTCACAGTGAAATTAGCCTGTTAATGTATTTTTCATCTTTGAGTGAAAAACGTGCCTCCTTGGTTTATTGGGAACCGGGGATCTTTAATTTATGAAAATAAGAAAATATCTTGCAAAAGTGGTCAATTTACAAGCAAAAAGACGAAATGGCCCACAATTGATATGACCCACAATTGATTCATTGAGCTATAGATCCCGCAGTTTTCACGAGTCCGCAAAATGAATTCAAAAGTGAAATCCTCTGGTATTTAAGCAAATCATATCCAAATTTGAGCTTCCTACAATGCTGACCCACAACTGGTTCCAAAAATCAACTGTGGGCCAAAACAGACTATTTTTAAAACAGCCACAGCTTAGTAAATAAGGATGATAGACGGGGCAAGTAGTTTGCTGCAAAACTTAGTCCAAGGACCATAGTTAAAGGCTGCACATGCACTTTTGTCACCAGGTCAGAATTAAAGGCCTAAATTTTGGGATTTTTAAAAATGTGTCCCACAATTGATTTTTTACCTTTACATGAAAAAGATCCAGAATTTACCTTGTCCTTGCAAACAACCACGTCACTCGTGTAAATTTGGTTCGAATGTCAGAAACATGTCTGAAATCCTGATCAAAATTCGCGCACCTCTGAAAGCTGAAATTCTGAAAACTTACTGTGATATTGATGGGTTTGAGTTCTATAGAATCTCAGGAGATGTTTTCTGCTTTCAGAGGTTCGCGAATTTTGATCAGGTTTTCAGACAGGTTTCTGACATTCTGACAAGATTTACTTGAGTGTTTTCGACTC